GAGGAAACTCAATTTGGCCGCTTGTATCCACGACCTCATTCTTTCCATCATTACCCAGAGCTCATGACCATAACTGAGGGTTGGGACGTAGATGGACCAGTAAAAGCGAAAGCTTTGCCTTCCTGCTAAGCTCCCTCTTCACCACGATAGTCCAGCACAGCACCTGCATCATTGTAGACACAGTGGCAAACCGCCAATCCATCTCATGCTCCATTCTACTCTCACTCGTGAACAAGACCCTCAGATACTTGAACCCCCTTGCTTGGGGCAGTAACTCACTCCCAAACTGGAGGGGGGAGTCCAACATTTTCCAGCATAGAACCATGGCCTCAGACTTTGAGGTGCTGACACTCATCCTGGCTGCTTTACACTCGGCTGCAAACCGCCCCAGTGCATGCTGGAGGTCACGGTGTGATGAGTTCTCAAACTCAACTAATGAAACTCTTAAATAGAATAACAGTCTCACAGGTAACATTGTTATAATTTCCCCAGCATTTTGTACCTTCTGCCTTCATTATGACGCAGGTAAACAGCTATGCAGCGAGCTAAACAGTAGTCAAGTATTAAAAACTAGTAAACATATACATTAAGTCCATAACAGTAAAAATAGAATACAGAGCAGTTATCCCAACAGTAGTTCAACAGTCACTTATAATGTTGTACTGGCATCACATTAGCTTCAGACAGCTAGGTAAGTGTGGTAACTAGCTTAGTTAGTGATAAACTGATGAAGCAAAAATTTTGACTAAATCTCAAATCAACAACTGCATAACAGCTGTAATACAAATCAGTAACACTCTCACGAGAGCATTTGGGAAGTAGATAAAAATGCCTGTCAGTATTTGCTTGGACACTGATCTGATAAAATTGCCTGGGTTCAGACCTTAGGCAACTGACAAAATATTTAATGTAATAATGTCAGTTCAACTGCTATTGCACCCTGCGAGTAGTGGTTGCTACTAGCAACAGAACATTCAACTGAAATCAACCTGTGGCAGCAGAATAACCAGATTGCATCCAAACCTTATTGGATATTTTTAGTAAATTATACTGACCTGTAAAATAAAGTTTAACATTTTATTTCCCAAAATACCGAAAGGATCTAAATGCTGTTTCAAAGCTATTCAAAAGTTATGTTTTGGTTCTTCATTTGTTCATTTAATGGAGCTAAAAGTAGTCAAAGTCAGAGATATTGAATCTAAAAAGTCTTCAATACTCTTGCCTGTTACATATCTGCGTGGAGTGGACAGATTCAAAGGTCTAGACCCAGGCAAGGAATGGTCACCAAGTGGCAGTATTTAACTGCAGAGTGTAATCTCCCCCCAGGTTGTTGAAAACTCCCACATTCACAGCAAAAAAATAATGACCTCAGAGTCCCGCTGGCAGCTGCAAACTGAAAATCGCATAGAGGTAATGTTCGGCATTTGGCTGTAAACAAAAAGCAGTGGGGATCCATACTAAGTGCCAGCTTCAAATGAGAGGATTGTGGGTTAGGACAGCTGTTGAATACTTAAAACTCATGTTTGGATTTGATAACAAAAAGTATGGTTCTGTCTCTGCTTTATCATTACAACTGTTTGTTACTCTACAGCAGCAGTGGAGGACAGATAAAGATAATTTAGTTAAGTAAAATACAGAGCTTGATTAAATGACTTGGTTACAGTCGCATATCTAAAACCAGACAGCTCTGGGAAAAGTTTGCTCGGGCTTTATAAATATATCAAATTTAATACACATCCCTGCATTACTTACAGCTGTTTATGCTGGATCTGAGATAAGACTTGCTCCTGGGCACAGTGGTAACTGTAGGAGGACTTTTAATGTCACAGATAAGAATCTTTTTTTCATGCTGATGCATTTAAGATGGGTGATGCATCTTTAATGACACGCAATAAATATTTCGTTATATTAACAAAGCTTGATTCAGCCTTGTTGCACAGCCGGCTCCATTTTTCACGCCAGTATCCAGCTGGGGACTAAATGTCATTGTTTATTCATGGTCCAATCTAAACATAGCACATATCATTATTTTGCTTTGCAGTGCCTGATGATGACTTTGTTTTGGAGCTTAGCTGTTAATACACCCTCACCTCTCTGCACTTCTGATAGATGTGTATGGCTCGCAATCAAAGTCTGTGTGGTGAAGTCACATGCAAATCTCCTTTTCTGTTTCATCAGTACAATTCTGATTAAATAAGAATGTAAAGAAAGAAGGACAAGTCACGACTGTCATATAGACTAAAAAACAAATGAAACTCTACTATACTGTGCAACTTTGCTGCATGGTATACTATAAGGAAAGAAAAATATTAAATCATTTTTCTATTTTTTAAGCAAAGCCAAAAATTCTCTGCTTCCACCTTCTCAGATTTAAATATATCCTTTCATATATCGTTTCATTTTTTAGTCCAAAACAGTAAAGTGATTATTTCACTTCATGGACCAGATTTTCTAGATTTTATTTAGATGTTTTATAGACCAAACAATTAATGATGAATAGAGAATATAATCAGACTAACTGATGATGCAAATAATTATCAGTGGCAGTCGCAGTATACATTACAAAATGAGATATAGTTTAGTAACAAAATGGTAATTAGGGGTGTACAATTTATCAAAATTGCGAAAAGGCCAAATGTAATATCCAGATCGCAGGAGCTGCTATTTTTTTTAATAAACGTAAAATGTGTCACAATAGACCGTTACAAATGAAGCATTGTGATACTGCAGAGATGGCCCGGCCTACGAATCATATTCCAGATATGAGGGTATGTGCTTGTGAGGTACAGACCCAAGCAAAAATCACATCATCATTAATTTTTGTATTTTTTTTTTTCAGTGAAAATTAAATGCAAAAAATACCATTCCCGCTAAAACTGTGATTCATGTCGTAATTGCAGTATCAAAACCATAGAAGAAAACAGATAAAATCAAAATAACATTGAGTAGATAGACTTTGAAGGAACTCAGTATAGTTTAATCATGTGTTGTTTTTCCTTCAGGCTGTGACATGCTCCGACTTAAATCTACTGCAGTGTTATTTTTTTGCCCCATAGTAAATATAGAATTATGTTTTGGTGTGACAGTGTGTTGAATTCTTGGTATCTGAGTTATATTTAATGTCTCTACAGTCTGCAGGAAGTGTTGCTCTGTCTCTGCCTCTTATAGTTGGCATATGTTGACACAGTCTGTTTACTATGAGATGCCAGATTTGTCTTGGTCCACCAGTCTCAGTGGCCAGGGCAGTGGGCACTCGGTCTGTGTTTGGTTAAAGGGGCATGCCACCAGTTTTACACATGAAGTTCAGTTTACTCGTCATGAGTGAGCATCAACATCTGAGGCTGGAAAATTAAGCCAATGCAGTAGGGCTGCCCCTTGAAAGTTGGGGATTCGAATCATCAGTCAGAGACCCCTCAGTGCTCTGCTGTGTACAGACAGCTGCAGATGTGATGCACCGTCACAGAGGAGGAGAAACTTTCCACTGTGAGGCTCCAAGATAATACTATCTTCTATCTTCTGTTTGGAAGTGGTGAATTGCTGAAAACCGCAGTTCCTCTAATGGCCACTTGAGGCTGGCTTCAGAAACCAGTAAATTCCCATAGACCCTCGTGTTAAAATGCCCAATTTACATCAGAAATAAACATGTTCACAGCCTGGTACAAAAAAACTGTTTTGGTCTGTAGCTAATCTCAACATTCATGACAACTCCATGGGGGATGTATTTTTATATAATTCACCTTTGTGCATTTTATTAAGGCTTGAATTTATGCATAAGTACGGGTGGAGCCACTTGAGCGACAGGCTGTCTGCAAGGCGTCTGCAAGGCGTCGCTACAGTCTGTAAGTCAAATTCACCCCTCGCTCCGCCACTGCTCAAACCTTTTACCCAAAATAAAATAAACATTTTCATTCCTGGCTCCAAAAAAACAAGATAGCAATCGCCAAAATGCTGAACTCGATGCTTCAACAGGGTGTCTACAGGTCCTTAAAAAGTCTTACATTCAGATTCGATGGGTGTTAAATATTTTACGTCACATTATCACGAAAATTTCTGCAGCCTGACAGACTCAATGACTGTTCACAATCATTGGACAGACCGAAGAATTGCAACAATAAATAGCATTTATGACTGCCATGAGATTTTGTTTTATTTTTACATTAAACACATTAAACTTAAACTCATCCAATTGTTGTCATTTTTCCTTACTGTTCATTTTGAACTGACATCAGTGTGTTTACTTGGAAAGAGTACTTACACATGTCTGTCACACACACACAAACACACTTATATAATGTGTATTTCCATTGCAGGTTTGGTCTTAAATTTCAAATTAGGTGGTATTAAAAAGGTCTTAAAAAGTCTTAAATTTAATTTGCCTGTATCTGTACCTGTTCAAAAACAGCAGTCAAAAAACAAAACAAAGGGTGACGTCACAGATTTCAGATTTTCAGATTAAAGAAATGCTGAATGAGAGATTGCATTGATTTACAGACAGGCTGCATCATCATGATTAAAGTTAAAACACTTTTGAGTTGCATGATGGGAAGGGCAGGACTCTTATTAACAGGAATAAAGAATAAAGTCAGGATATTTCTGCCTCTGCTGCTTCTATTTTGACTTTTCTATGTTAAATCCATCTCTTGTGAGGACCCCAACTTTATGGAAATGCAAAACTAAATTGTTGTTGGACCCCTTATTGCTGTTTTCTTCCTCTTGGTATCATCTGTTTAGATCTAAATATAGCATTTGAGTTTATGCCTGGTGGTGTTTTTTCCTTTTCCTTTTCCTTTTCCTTGGCTATATTTGGGTTGTTTCTTTCTCCATCTTTCTCCCTCTTATGAGAACATGTTGCAGAAGGATGCTGTCCAAACTGTCACCACAATAGATAATGGGAGTAAATCCAGCCACATGCTCTAAGCCCCTTCAAGAAACTCCCTCCCTCTCTCTGTTTTTACCCGGGCTGCGGTTTTGTGTAGTGAAGATGTGAAACTAACTCACAGGTGAACGGCAGCGCTTCAGTCCAGTCCACCCTCCTCACCTCTTCCTCTCTCCTCTCATCTCCCGTCTACTGCCGCTGCTGCCAGGCAGACACACACTCACGAGCTGAGGAAAAGCTCACGACTCACCACCGACCAGAATAACCAAGCGTCTGACTCCTAAACACGTTTTGTGATTCCTGAGTAGAGAAGATCTCCAGACTTGACCTGGTAATCTGCGGATTGAGAGGGACGTGCGTAAAGCGCCGCCACAGAAGAACTCTTAATAAATGAGCTGAAGTGTCAAAAGGATTTCTCTCTGTGTTTTCGGTCTCCGGGTTTCCTCTGGCTGGCGTGCAGGAATGATGCGTGCTTCACTGGACTCGAGCAGCCGATTCGCAGGCTGATGAAACACTTTGCCAATCCTTGTTCTTTGCGTTACTGCAACCCAGCGAGAAACCTGCACAACATCACCACATAGTGCAGCGGTGATGGACCTTCGTTTTGACATCTTGGTGATGCACGCTTGTCAGTCACCCTGCTTTTGTGAAATGCATCACTTCTGCACACAATTCCTGCTCGTGTGACTTTTTAAAAGAGCGGCGGATGCTCAAAATGTTTCTCCATCTGTCTGCATGAGGGATGGCGACCAAACTCCAAGAGTGTTTATCTGCACGTTTGCACCTGTCCGGGTGGATAATGACAGTTTATGCCACAGGTGAATGAATATCGGCTCAGTTTCTCTTAACAGCGAGGGGGGTGTTTGAAGCTGTTCTCTGACTCTGGCATTCAGATCGAGCTTGTTGCACAGTGACAATGGATCTCAAAGTGGAAACCGAAGAAATGGACACAAATCAACCGCCGCCCATAGAAGTTTTTGCGCACAGCTCGACTCTGCACGGAATCTCGCACATTTTCACGTACGAGCGGGTCTGCATCAAACGCTGCCTGTGGGTCGTGTTTTTCTTGGGCTCTCTGACCTTCTTGCTGTACGTGTGCGTGGACAGGATCCACTTCTACCTCGAGTACCCGCACGTCACCAAACTGGATGAGGTCGCGACCCCGATCATGACGTTCCCCGCGGTCACCTTCTGCAACCTGAACGCGTTCCGCTTCAGCCGGGTGACGCGCAATGACCTGTACCACGCAGGGGAGCTGCTGGCCCTGCTCAACCAGAGGTAACCAGTTTAACCAGTTTTAAAAAAGTGCAAAATGAAGCCCATAATTCAGTGCTGCTTCTGCATGTGGTTATTTATTTATTTATTGTTTATCATCAATACTTTATATTCCCTTTTAATATGGAAGAGTATCCTCTTAGAAACTTGCCACCCATTCCCCTGTCATTATAAATACATAAACTATTTTCATATTGCAAATGTCAGTGTTGGAATGTTACTAACTATATTTACTCAAGTGCTGCACCCAAGTATAAACTTGAGGTACTGCATGTACAGTACTTGAGTATTTCCATTTTATACCACTTTATACTTTTACTCCACCACAATTCAGAGGCAGATATTGACCCACTATCAGATTGATTTGACAGCTATAGTTACTAGATACTGTGCATATTAAGATCCAGACACAAAACCTGCAGTATTTATGTAAAATAATGTTACAAAATTGTTAAAGTAGCTCCATTTCAGCCATCACAGGGGCCATTTATTGCATTTTAAACATTTAATTTGACTGATAATAACATACATTTTAACAATATCCTTAATGCAGGACATTTAATCATAATGAATTATTTTTATAGTGCTGCATTTCTACTTTTACTTAAGTTAATGATCAGAGTACTTCATCCACTACTGGTAATTGTGTCCCACTCATCCAGCAAGCTCTAATAGTTTCTACCTTGTTGAGTCATTCAGTGCTTGGAGAGCAGGCTTGTCAAGCTTGAATTAAGTGAGGCATCATAATCAGAGAACGGCAGCCGTCTTGTTGGTGCAGTTGAGGGCTCTGGATACTGGAGCTGGCAACAGCGTGTAGTGTATGCACAGGAGGAAAAGATGCAGAAAGACTGCTTCCTTTGATTACAAGTGAAATGGCAGATGCTTTGGGTGTCTTTGTCGGTTATGCGTTTAAATCCTCATGTAACTGTCGCTTCAGCAGGGCTGCTGAAAAACTCCACTGCTGCACATTTAATCCACTTTGCTTCTGAGCTGTTACAGATTTTACTTCTCTGGACTGGTAGTTGATTTAGATGATGCACAGGGCTGCCAGAGAGGCCGAGGTGAATGAGGAAGGACCTCCCAGAGAGAAACTGACTATTCCTGGTTTGAAAGTTGTTTGATAAACATGTTGCTCTACCTGTGGTGTAGTAATATTGTCCCAAATGTCAGCAGAGGCAGCGTTAATGAAACAAATCAGCAAAATGTTGTCATTTGCCACTAAGCATGGGACGCTGTGAAAATTTCATGCCACGATTATCCTAGCCAGAATAGTTATAATTCAAAATATTATCCTGATAGTCATCAACCACCATACTTTAAACTCTTAAAATGGCACCAAAACACCAAAATCACTGTACCTCACATTTTAGCAAAAGAAAATAAATCTTGCATCACAGACTTTTTTTTAGTATTTATTTAGTATATAACTATTTGAAATGGCATCATATTTTTCAATATGAAAAATGTCAATTCTTGATTAAGATCTTTTGTATTTTTCAAGTTTGGTGCATATGCAGCTTGTTATTGCAGAGCAGTGATACCCAGCTTATGGCCAAATTTTGCCCCTGATAGAGTGGTGGGTGGCCCCCATAACCATTTTCTAAATCACAGTGAGAAGAAATTGTTGTAATTATTATTTTTGACAGATATTGCGATATGAGTCACGATTTTATTGGGAGTGGTTATTTTCGCATTACATCTTCACTAAAAAATATAAAAATGATGATGATGGGATTTTTGCTGGGGTCTGAATCAAACAAGCATACTTCCTTATGTCTGGAATATGATTTGTAGGCCTGGGCAGCTCTGTAGCACCACAATGCTTCATTTATATGGTCTGTTGTGACACATTGTACCTTTATCAAAAAAACTGCAGCTACTGTGAGTTTGATATTGCACTTTGCCGTAGCCTATTACGACTTTGATGATAGATCAATTAATTGTGTATCCCTACTACTAATGCCATTAAAAAGTATCAAAATAGAGCTTGTTTCTTAAAAAAGTGCGAGAGGAGGATCCCCTGAACTCTCCAACAGAGGTCTGGGCTAAGCCCCAAATGTTCTCAAATCCTAGAAATGCCCCTGCATACAAATGCAGGCTGCTACTGCTCCCGGCCTCCTGTCATTTTGCAAAAGTGACCCTCAGGCATTGCAAGCTGAGGATCCCTGTTGCAGAGTCTCTTTTTGTTGTTGGTTGCCCAGCAGTCTCTTCAGATGCTACCTGACACAATATTCACTATTGTCTCAACAATGGAACTTAATCACAATGAACGTGTTGAGAGCAGGGGGTCTGCAGGTTGTCTTTTTTTTAACACCTGTTGGCAAAGTGTAGATTAACTTAACTCACTCTAATAACTATATTCCTGCATAAAACCTACCTCTGTGCAGGACCACATATATACTACTTACCTATATACTTAACCTTCAGTACTTGAATAACAAAAAGGTGATTTGTCCAAAAGTAAGGCGTACATTTTGTCAAAGAATTGTTTTGAAAAGGTCATAGAAAGCATTACATTTAAGTGTCTGATGTGTAGACACCTTGTGAGTGTTTTTTTTTTTTTTAATCGAGAGCCGCGATGAAATCATATATCGTCCCATCCCTATTTACCACATCTGATGACCAGCGCCTATCATCTGAGTGATCAAAAACTCGCCTCAGATGATATGGACGTCTGACAGGCTGTCAGTTACAGAGATCAAGGACAGGGCTCAGCAGCATACAGTGCTGAAGGCCCCTGGTGGCTTTGCTTTTATGAGGATATACAGCCAACTTCTATACTAAATCTTTAATGAAGATCCCAGAATGAACACTAAAATTAGCATTTTTTTTTTCTGTGACGCTGGTGTGACTGATGATCAACACTTGCCATCTGGATTTTTTTTTTTTCCTTTCTTTTTTTTAGGAATACATCTCCTAATTTCACATTTCCAGGCAGTGGTTCACAAGGAAGACTTTTCAAAGTTGGAGACCAAAGCTTAAATGGGGCTGAGTTTCCTTCTCCATGTACTCATCTCAACTCTTACACTCTGAAGTAGGTTTAGTGCTCATTATCCTGCCTCCCTTGGCAAGGTAGAGAGGCGATGCAACGGCACACTTAGCTGTTATACCCCCGGCCAGAAATGAAAGTGCTTGTGGCATGAATCCATTTAAAAACCGTTCTCCGCCCACTTCCCATGTTTGGAGTCACTGGTCTGGGAAATGTCTTGTGGCATGATATTTAAGCTGCACACATCCTGAAGTGTCAGCCCTCGCTGATTCTGTCGGCTCGTTCTTTGGGGATTTTATCTCATAAGTGCCTTCTTGGCAGGTTTGTCCACTACACAAACAGTAGGGAGCGACTGCCTCTCTTCAATTAAGTTCTCTTTCAATCAAACAAAAACACTCCCCGCCTCTGCTATAATGGAGCTCAGTCTGATCTTAATGTCACAAAAATAATCTATGAACTAATTTCTGAACCTGAATGAGGCTTGTTATTATTGATTTAATGTTTGAAATGTTTCACTTACAGTGTTAAATGTCCCTTTGCCCTCATGAAAAACAAAAGGATTACTGCATTTACTTACAGATTTTACAGGAAATGTAGTAGCGATGCTGTAATTATGCATCATACATTAAAAGCCCTTGTATAAGTAAAAGTGAAAGTCATTTTTATTCATGTGGTGCATGAAAACACATGGGGTGCAGTAATAGTATGTCACACAAAAGATCAATAAGGACTATATTCATACAGGAGTGGCTACATTCATGTGAGAAAATTTCATTTGAGGCAGTGCTCTGAAAAAAAGAACCTTCACACAGTCTGCTCTTTGGTGAGTCCATTAAAATGGTGACATTTTTAATAATAGCACAGCGGGAGATCACAGCGAGGGTAGAGGCTGGGTGCATTTACAGCTATTCTGCTCTCTTTTGATACGAGGCAGCGTGGTCAGATTTCTGCGAGCACCATTAAATGAAAGGAAATTTCCCAGTGCCACCGATAATGCCGGGTGTGATGTGGGTTGTCTGGCTCGCCACTCAGTTACTCGCCTTTTATTCTTAATGTAGTTTTTTTTTTTTTTTTTTAAAGGCTGCAGCTGGTGATGCAGACAAAATGAAATATTACAGAAGTGTAACAGAATACCAAGCTATCAATAATGTGGTGATGTCGAGGACTTGGCTGTTACCACACAAGAAAACCATTGAGAATGTATCAGTAGTGATAGATATATGATGAAACATGAGGGCACGCTCGTTGCTGCTTTCATTGAGCAATCTAATACACTGAAAACATTATATCATTTCACAATAATACAGTCTTTACTGTAAGACAAGGGAAAGGCCACCTTAACATCTCAATATTATATCATATTTACATGTATATTAAATAAGCACAACAGATATAAAAAACAAACCTTCCAGTTGCTTGTAAAGACTCTCTAATAGACAAACACAACATACACCCATGCTAGCTCTGCTAACATGCTGATGTTTAGCAGGTGTAATCAGAGATCAGAAAGGATACCGCTTACTTTCATGGATAAATGAAGGGAACTGGGGCCCGTTTATCCGATGAAAGATGCTCAGTACCATATGAAGCCAAAAAAGCTCGGCCCCTGCAGTATGAAATTACCCAGATCCTCCACACTGTGGGGCCTGTAGAGCAAACACATTAGAGACTGACGGTGGATGAGTGGCTAACTTCTGGTTTAGCTTGCCGCTAACTTGAATCGGGATAAAATGATTTAATGGTGCGGCTCTTCTAGACTTTCATAATGTTAGCAGACCTAAAGGATCATATCCCAATCTTAAAATGAGTCATTTTGCAGGGCTTGTGATGCTCAAAAATAAAGTATCTGCTGATTTACTCCTACACAATGTAAGTCAATGGGAAAAAGTTATTTTGGGCCCTGTGGCATCACATAATGGACCTAGAGGTTGGTTGTTCTTGCGGGCTTGGTGTAATCAGAGACCAGTCAGAAAGGAGACAGCTCACTTTAGAGGCATTTCCTGTAACTTTGTCATGTGGGTTTCGCCCCTGCCTTGCACCTTTAGCAGGCTTGCGGCATGTCCTGAGTCTACCTCAGTCACATATCTTTTGAACATTCTGATACTGGAATGGCATTTTCCAGACAAATCAGTAGAAAGTTAACTTTGTTTGTGACCTGTCTCTGTCTCAGCAACACACTCTTGTGAGATCTGGCAACAACTGATAAGATCTTGTACTCTACTGATATCAGATGTTAAGCTTGCAGATGAAAACGAGTGGCAAATGAGGAGCAAACATTCAATTTGTACTGTATATAGTGTTGTATTGAATACGCTTTCATCCATCCACACGACCTTCACAATGCTTCATGATGAGGTGGGGGGATGTGGGAGAGAGACGACTGCACTCACTTAGCAGCTTGTAATGCTTCATCTTTTGTCATAGAGTATCTTTGGTTTGATAAAGATAAAACACAACAATGACTGGTCAGCTCACTCAGTGTTAAAATCCATGGTACAGGCAGGCAGTACACAAATCTGAGGCACTCTGACTGAAGTTAAAAATCCTTTATTGCATGTTTTTTCCCCTCATCTTTAGTGTAATGTTTACCACCAATCTCAATTTAGGGTGCTAGCATGCTAACACTTGCTAATCAACTTAAAGCAGCTGTAGTCTATGTTTTTTTTTTTATCATAGCAATGTATCAAATGACAACTTGAAAATAATGTGACAATGTGAAGCGGGTCGCTGGAAGAAATGAACCTACAGATAATTATCACCTGAATCAGCAGCTCCCCTCAGCTTTACGGAGCTTTATAGTGAGTTTCAGCACATTGTTGAGCTGTTTTGCTGCATCTTCACTGTTTTCATTCCTGTTAGTGCCCGCATTTCCACCAGTTATGAGTAAAACCATTGTAATCAAGGATGTATAACCAATGGAGGGCGTTGCACAATGCACAACGGATATAAACAGTAGAAGCAAAATTACAGTGACTACCTGCAAACTTTGTTCCGTTATTACAGATGAAAACCAAGCATGGACGAACTATTGAGACCACTGCACGCCCTTTTTTCTGACTATTTCATACTCACTCTCTCCATCTTCTCTTTCCAACCTGTAGAATATGACACGCCCACTTATGTCATCACAGTTGGCACTTCAGGTCAAGACAAACCTGCTGTGTAGTTTGGTTCCACCTGAGAATCCAATTTTCAGGTTCTGAACCAATTTATTTTTGGTTGAAATTCTCTAAAAGGTTTAAAATTAGGTGCGGGAGCTGAAACAGAACCAGTTCTCTGTTGGCGGAAAAGGGTTTATAGCGTTATTTTCAGAAGGAAAAAAAAAACCCTATCAAAACCTGCTGCACACTACCTTCTCAGCACCAAACAGCAGACAGACACAGTTAGTGACTAGCTGGTGAGCATAATTGAGCATTTAGCAGCTAAAGAGCCAGATATTTCCCTCAGGATATTTCCCTCAGGAAATATATGAGACCAGAAACAGAGCTAAGAGAGAGTGCATACTGGACTTGTATTCACTAGGTGGCCAGAAACACGACTCCAAATGCATGTTAATGTTGCTCTGTAACCGGTGGATGTGTAATTAAGTACTCGTTTGCTAACAAATTTACCATGTCAAATTAAAAAGTGATGATATATTATTATTGCAGATTCAAGCACAAAGTACAGCAGAGACTAATGACTACGTCATTAGTTTGTCAGGTATTTGGTCATTAAATAAAGTATTGGACAGTCAAGAGGATGAAAGGAAGGGATCACCAAAATAATTACAATTCATTTTGAAGGGGACATAGGGGTCTTTACCAAATTTCAAGACAAATCTTCCAATAAATATCAAGACAATTAAGACCATAAATGTCAACCTCATGGTGGGGCTACAGGAAAAGTCTAAGCATCATGAGAGTAATTAGAGACATAATCGAGGAAACAAATGATGTTGAGTTATTTCTCAGAATAAGTGAAAACTTTAACCTGCTGGTGTCATTAGATGAGAAGCCAAGAAATCACCAAAGTTTCTAGGATCTGACATCTGGGTACCATTAATGTCTTTACCAAATTTCATGTCAATCTGTCACATAGTTGTTGAGATATATCTGTCTGGAACAAAGTGGTAGACTGATACACCAACATTGAAGTCCTTAGACCCATGGTAAAAAATCTATAATGATACACAAAAAACAAACAAACATGATCAAGGACTTCTAATACAGGATTTATACCTTTGCGACGCATTGATACCGTACTTACGACAAAGGCTCTGCATCAACGTAGAGCACATGTGCACCTCCCCAGAAATGTAACTATACGTTGCAGTGATATAGACATCATGTCTATTTTTGTAAACCAAAACCATTTCCTCTAGTAGAAACAAAGCTTTAATTTGCTTTAATTTCACAGATAAGAAACAATACATTGTGAAGACAGTAAAGCCTCCACAAAAATAACATTATAGGTCCTCTGTGTGATTTATCCTTTGGGGATTTGTACTTTATACTCGTCACTAGGCTAATTTATACAATGTAAAATGCCATAGGCTTGTGCTAATAACATTAGCATGTTGTATTTGTGGGGAAAATTTGTCCAGATAAAGACAAGCGCTTTGTCTGTGAATGCTGCGAGTTATAGTGAAGCTGATTTGTGTACCTGTGTTATAAACTATCTCTATTAAACCATTTTTAATCAACTAAATTTTACAGCACTTCACAGAAACCCTGATACCGAAAAGTGTTTTGGAAGTGTAACTGCAGAGTGACACAGACACACCACTGCCCAAGTATAAATACATGCATACATGTTCTTATTTAGTTTTATGTGGGACTTTCATCAAAGTATAACATACACCATATACCTTGATTCATGGAAATGTATCATGTATTAAAGAAACTGACAAAAATAATGAGCAGAGATTCTTGTAATGAGTGAATTCACTCCAAGTCCAAAGAAACACGATTCCCTTAAAAAAGACTGTCTCTTCTTGCCATACCTTTAATATTTTAGTCAGATTGGCCTCTAAGTTACAATACTCACATGAAAGTTAAATGTCATGGCCAAAACAATCCAATCAACATAAACACATTTTTCTCAACGTCTGAATCCAGATGAGTGAGACTGGAGTTGAAGTGTAGCCTGAAGCTGCTGCATTGACAGTAAATGGACGACTAGCTTTATGGGCCTGTACAGGTCTTGTCTCTGAACTTTATTATGTACTGTACAATAAAGCGTTACACTCTGGTAGTACCATCAGTTCAGAGCTGGAAAATGCCACCTAAAACCCATCTCGTACATTTTTACTGTCTGTTTTCTGTCTCTTGTGATTCATTCTGGACTGTATTATTTTTAGCTATGGTTGAGAGGAGCGAGGGTTCACAGATAAAGACTCATAAACCTTCCTGAAGTGTGCAAAAAAAATGTTCCAAGGCTGAGATTCACTTTATATGAAGTCTACTTTATCATAAGGCAGTGATTATTCACTGTGAAGACGTCCTGCTCAAGGAAATTCATCCATCCATACCAGCCTACAGGACGTAAAATTTGAACTTGAAAAGTATGAAATATTTCTTTGACCTCTCTGTCTGTCTGTCTGTTTGCCCAGGTATGAGATCAGGGACATACATCTTGTGGAGGAGAGCGTCCTGGAGAGCCTGAAGGTTAAAGCTGATTTCCATAACTTCAAGCCGCGACCCTTCAACATGCGGGAATTCTACGACCGCACCGGACATGACATAAATGACATGCTGCTCGCCTGCCACTTTCATGGAACCGAGTGCAGAGCGGAGGACTTCAAAGTGGTGAGTTGTCTCCTGTGAAAATTTTATCCAATCACGATTAAAGGATAAGTCTGGTGATTGTCAACAAATCCTGTTTAAGACCAAAACCAACAGTGACTTAATCTGTGTAGTCAAAGTCTGATATAGAATATTCCTCTTATTCCCATTAAAGTCAAACTAACTTCAGACTTTATGTGAAAGGAAATATAAACTCAAATGACACTGCAGCTCCGGCTGGGCAATATATCAACATCGTATCAATGTCGTAATATGAGATTATATATCCTCTTATTTTTCGGGTGACGTAATACGGTGAATGTTTTCTATTTCTGGTTTTAAAAGCTGCATTACAGTAAAGTGATGTAATTTCCTGAACTCACCAGCAGGACCACGGCAGCAGCACAACCACGTCACGCGTTCCAGGCGTAGCTGTGATACAGAGAACCTGCAAGACAGTGGAGCACAAAGACTCCGGAGAAGAAGCCGAGTTAGTGACATGCAGTAAAGCCGAGTTAGCGATGTGCAGTAACAGGACATGAATGTTAGCAGATGAAGAAGAACCAACTTTTCAGAAACTAAGGAGAGAGAGAAGGAGGGAAGGAGAGAAGGGGAGGGGCTTGGTGTATCATAGCAGACTAGGCCCAACAGTCCAAAAAAAAGCAATTTAGTTTATTATCATGTATAACAAAGAAAAGCTTCAAATTCTGACAAATGTAGAAGCATGAAACCAGCAAATGTTTGGCTTTTTGCATTAAAAAAAACTAAAACGATTATTTGTTCATCAAAATAATTGCCTTGATTGATTAACTGATTGATTAACTAATCATTGCAGCTCTGACGTTAGCACTGATTCCCACCAGATGTTCTCTACATAACCCCATGATGTAAATCACAACACCAAGCAATGAATTGACTCATGAGGTAAAGTTGGGAGTGTTAAAATGACAGACATGACTAAGAAAAGGTTAATGATAGTGGTCCAAATCTAATGACGAAAATAGTCCTCATCAAAAGCACAGTTTAATCCTGTTTGAGTAATGTTTTCTAAAAATAACACTGTCCAGATATTTTAGGATTTTTCTGAAAACATATTTTTATGACCTGTTTTTAAAGATTTATATCTTCAGTAGGACAAATCAGTTTGGGGTTTGAGCACTACAGAAGAGGAAGGCGGAAAGTGTTATGTGGAGGATTAACACATTGTTGTTTTGGTCTTTTCATGAGATTTTCTTAAAGAAGATCAGCAGCCTTATCTTTTAAAATCTAGGCCATTTTTAAAACATATAGTGCATTTTATTCCGTGTTTGAATGGAAGAGTGCAGACGACACATACTCTATAAATCATAGGGTTATCTATTTATAGTGGGTTGAAGAATGACACCCCCCCCCCCCCCACAGCAAAGACAGAGCAAACCTCTGAGTGAACTGAACGGAAAGACATGTAGTTTTCTAACCTGGAGATACCTGCTGTGTTTTTGTCTGTGGACACCGCTGGTTTCAATCGAAACCCTCTCTGGTGTAAATATGTCACAGTACGTGTTGTTGTGTGAACATGTATGTCTTTTATTCCCCACACATTTACGAAACAAAATCAGTAGTGCACTTCTGTGATTCAGTTAGTTTAGTTTATGATAATAACGTTGGGGTGTGTTGATGGCAGTCTGCGTATAAAATGTGTTTTTTGAATCTGTGTTAACAAGTCCTTGTTAAAATTTATGATCAAACATTGTTTTGAGCTGTTTATTTATTTATTTAACTAATCCCCACAGCTCTGAGTAAATGTTTACATCTCCCTTTTCATCTTTTAATTATAATTTTGTACTTTAAAACAAGGGAGAGGCGGCATTGTGCAGCTATGTCCTTTTGAAATTAAACCCTTGTGTAAAAAAGATGCAAAATAATGTAGTGGAGCTGGTCAAAGGAATGTGTTTGAACGTTCCACTGATGGTATATATACATGTGTGAGTGACTGATGCCCATGTAAGTTTTTCCTGCAGCAGAAAGTAGGGGCTGTAATGTCTGCCATAAACGCCTGCTGTTGCTGCTGGCGCACCCAGAGACTGTTGCCAACGGTCACTGGCATCAGACGTGGTTTTTAATTTGGAGCTGAACATTGATCATTCCACACAGCAGCCGCGCTGAATAGATTAGATTAAGTTTATTGGTAGTTTTTCTTTCCCCAGGAAGATTCCTGTTTATCTTCAGTAGACATCTGCAGCTGTAGATCCTCTTATACATATTATAGCACAAAATGGTCCTTACCTCGATTTAACCAGCAGAGTTGACTAAGAACAGGCTGGCCTCAGAGATTTATTTTTTGGGGGGGAACATTAATACACGCATTCATCCACAGTGACACCAAAGAGGGGCTCTACATGCTGCCACTTACTGGAGCAGCTGCACTGAAGTAGCTTTGAAGTGATATTTTTGCTCATGGGCAATTTTACTATTTTTCTCACTAACCCAGTGAAAAGAAAACCACTGGAAGCCTTTTTTATGTCTCTGTATGCAGTTTGAAGTAGTGATATCAGTCTGGATCACCTCAATTATTAGATGTTTCTGCTAGTAAGTACCAACTCTGATGTGTTTTGATTTCTTTGCAACGGCTCCTCTTTAAATTTAGAATTCAATTCGAGGCTCTTTCTAGTCTTTTTTTTTTTTTATTAGAGCTCTACACAGTCAGACAAGACCCAATCGCTAGAATAAATGTTTGCACTGTACATCCCTGCAAACCATGGATATGTACATTTGTATGCGTCTAATGTAGCGGTTATGTTAAAACTTAACATTTCTTTATGTTTCAATTTTCATTTTTTTGTTTTGACAATGCTATGTTTAATGTGTGGTTAAAAGGTACCCGCTTTTGTCACTCTTTAACATTGGTTTGCTGCTCTCTGAAGCTTGGCGGCAATCTTGCCAGAGTGTCATGCCATCCACCATCCCTTCCTCCTCCTTATGGGACACTCAGCTCATATACATGTAATCTGAACTATGTCACTGTAGACATGTTGATGTGATTTATATGACACATACAAATGTGACACATCCATGGTTTTCAGAAACATACAATGCCAATATTTTATTCCGCCTACTGGACTGTCAGAGGTGGCCCCACTGTTGCAGCCCAGGCGAAAAATTTATGTAAATGCATTTTAAAATAAAGAACAAAACACTAGACAAAGTCACACACCAGAGGGGACATGCTTTCTGTGGAGCTGTACCCACCCATCAAGCTCCTTTTTGCTTGATTTAACACAAGCTACCCCTCATCTGCTCTGCCTGGTAAAGGCTGATTAATGTTTGTAGCCTACACAAGTGGCCTACCCAGTTGTGAGCATTTGTACTATGATTGATCTGTGCAGTGGTGTGTTTAGGTCGCCAAATTACACAGCCAAAACCCTAGTTAGAGGTGGAGCTTCTCTGCCACTGTGTTGTGTTTCTGTGAAGGACAATAAAGTATGATTAATTCAACAAACACCTAAAATACAAAATGGAAATTTATCATGTATATATCACAAAATTAGGGATAACTTGAAACAAAATACAAACCTCAGCTGCATTATAACTTGCAAGGTTTAGAGACAAAATGCTTGTCTTTTGCTTAAGATGTTTTCTCCACAAATACAACATGCTAAAGGTATTAGCCAGAGATGGGACCAAGTCACACATGTGCAAGTCTCAAGTAAGTCTCAAGTCTTACCCTTCAAGTCTCAAGTAAGTCCCAAGTCATTTTTTTCTTGGGCAAGTCAAGTCAAGTCAAGTCAAGTCAAGTCA